GTGCTCTTTGCCGTTGTCTATTTTTGGGCGATTCCGACTGACGTCATGTACCAGGCCTACGTGCGTTGCGCGTAGGCCACTTTTTCCTATGACAAAATCGGTCGACCTCATTGCCTGTCCAGACCATAGACTCGACTCGAAATGCTCAGGGATACTCGCCAAAAAATCACGAGATGCAGAAATTCAAGTCTTGGGTTACTGGAGCTTTAAGTCTTAATTTGACCAGTTAAGTCTATAGACATTGAGACATGTCTATAGACATTTGAGTACAAATGGGAAGTCTCGCGACGTCTCGAGACGTCTCGAGATGTCTATAGACATTTGAGTACAAACCGGAAATTTTGTGACGTCTCACGACATAAGTCTTTTTGTCTCGAATGTCTCGAATGTCTCAAGACGTAAAGATAGTGTCTTGAGACATAAGGCTTCAGATATTCCTTAAGAAATTCTTTAATTATAAGGTCAGAGATATTAAGACAAATATGACATGTTTAAAGACATAAGCCCAATGTCTCGAGACGTCTATAGACATTTGAGTACAAATGGGAAGTCTCGCGTAACCCAGGGTTGCGTCATCGTTACGTGATAAGGAATCGATTGGATTAGATTGAATCGAATCGAATCTTCAATCAGAATCATTCGATTCGATTCGATTCGATTCATCATTCGATTCATTCGTGTCATAACCGGGAATATATTCAAACATGCGAAAAAGCCAAACGGATTTATGGGAAAGTCTCTATTCCTTGGTGCAGCTCTCCGTGCTCATTTTTTCGCCAACCAAGAGCCACCTCCAACCGGGCTCCGACCTCCGAACCCACCACGCTCCACCAGGCTCCACCAGCACAACTAAACCCCAACACGATGAGAACGAAGATGAAGAGATCAGCTGCCAGATCCCACCATCGCCTTCTTCTTGCCTTGGTCTTAGTATGCGCGGAAGTTCCTCTCTTTGCGTCCGCTCAAGAGAACGTTTCGACTTCGTCACTAGTTGATGATTTCATTGAAGACACCGTCGTAGACCTCGTCAGCAGCATTCTTCCCGAAGACCTTGATTTCAATGACACTTCCACCGACCCTACTTCCAACCCTTCTTCTGAAATGTACACTGCTTTCGAGTGCACTGATGACCGAATACTTACCTGCATTGAAGGTGGAAATCGCAGCTGTTTTCAGGGAGAATGTAGGGCTTGTCTGCCTGACTTTGTCGAGCTACCAATGGAAGTATTGGAGTTGGAGGATGACGATAACGTGACAACAATCATCAAGACGCTAAACATGTCTACTGCAGGAACTTCTATTGGAACAATTTGCGCACCCAAGGAAGCCTTTACCGAAGCCCTGTTTGAAAAGGTTTTTAAACCCATTTGGCTGGATGTACTGAGTGGAGAAGAACGTCTTAATATTTTACTTGGAGTCGCAGAGTACATTGCCCGCAACAACTTGGAAAACAAAACGTATACCTTGGGAATGAATGAATTCTCAGGGGACTCCGTCACGGAATATCGCCGACTAGGAGGATATCTTCCACCCAGTGATTTGGAATTGGTGTTGTCATTCTTGATTGCTGCAGAATTGGATGAATTAACTTCGACTGCCGAGGTCCCAAGACGAGTGGACTGGGTCGAGAGAGGCGCAGTGACTTCGGTCAAGAATCAAGGTACGGTAGATGGAGTGGAATACCCATGGTACCTTTGGCTCGGTTGCTTTTCCACCATGTCAACTGACAGATTCATTCATCATGTTTCTCCTTGCTTCCCGGCTGATTCACTGGCTAACTTTCGCAAACTTTCTTCTAGGCCGCTGTGGAGGTTGCTGGAGTATTGCTGTAGCAGGAACCATTGAAGGAGCCGCTGCCATTTGGTCCAATTTTACCTACCTCCAGTCCGTTTCCTTTCAGCAGTTCATCAGGTATGTTCAATTTGGTTTCTTTCGGTACATCACAAGATCTTGAAACGACCAAACCTGCTACTTTTTCTTCCTGTTGGTCACACATTAGCTGCGACGATTCTAGCTTTGGCTGCGATGGAGGTTACCCGGCGTACGCCCTTCAATATGCCAACAACAATTTCTTTGGAGGTGTCGCGATACTCAATGACTACCCTTTTACCGACGGAGAGGAAGGAGTCACCTCGGCAGAATGTAAGATTGAGGAGAAAGACGTTGCTATTGAATCACAGCTGAGCAGAGCCTTTACATACTATGGAAATGTTGGTGACAATACATTTGAGAAACGTATGGAGTTGATGAAATTCGGTGTATCCCAGCAGCCACTAGCCATTGCTGTCAACACCAAATGTGAACTGTTCAAGAATTACAAAAGTGGCGTCGTTACAGAAGATGATGAATGCTCTTGCAGGCCCACAGATCAAAGCTGTTTGGATCACTCAGTGCTTCTGGTCGGATACGATGATGATCACGATCCGCCTTTTTGGAAGATCAAGAACAGGTAAGTGAGGAATGTAGAGTTCGTTCCCTGCGAAACACTCTGACACTAACATTGTGGACTGCTGCAACTTCGCGCACAGCTGGGGGCCCCGTTGGGGCGAGGATGGGTACATTCGCATGTAAGCACAAAACACAACTTTGAAGCATCCAACAAGTGATCCCAATTCTCACACCGTTGCTTGTTGTGACGTCATCTTGGCAGAGCACAATTGAACCCCCATCCCAACAGTAACTCTTGGGGCCTGTTTGGACTGTTGGCCGAAGGCATAGCACCCCTTCAGGCTTTCAACCAGACGGCACAGGTCAAAGATGAACCCCAGTTTCTAACTGAGCCATGGGAGATCGCCGTGTTCATTATAGGCATTGTGGGTGCCGTTGGCATTTTGTGCGTTGCAGTGCTTATGCTGCGAAACTGTTTCTGTGCCAACAAATCGTCGTGAACCAATCACAGAATAAGCAGATCTATGACATTGTGTAGAAAGTTAAAGTGATAATTGGTTAGACGTTAGACTGCAAAGTGAAATGATTATTGTGGTCCAAACGGCGGCTTTCGTACCGATGACCAGATCAAAATACTTTTATGCTGTTCACCGCAGCCAGAGCATCCTCTACCGGTATGGCCCCTTTCTCAGCCCATCACATGTTCAAAATAAGGGAGTTCTAACTGCTGGTTTGCTAACCTTGTTCAATAGACTTCCAACTACCATGTACCTGTAGCTACACGTAAATGATGTTTGCTCTGCCTATCATGGGCTGAGCTTCTGCTGGTTATTTGTCTATTGCTACTACGATATCATCCACTGGAACACGTAAAACATGAAGAGAAAACCATCATTTCGGCAGTGCAAATTGTTTCTGTCACTGGACAACAAGAGCTTGAAAATACCAACATCATTGGCCCTCATTATGCCTTGTCAGACCAATCGACGTAGTATCCGTTCTGGCCGCTACTGCTGGTACTGCTAGAAGCAGCTCTGGCAGCATTTCTTCGCAATAGACAGACAAAGACAATGCCAAAAATAGTCCAAAAGAGTGTCGTCAAAAAGACACAGACGCTGAACTGGCCGTACCAGCCATTCTCCTCCAAGTCACGGCCGCCATCAGTTTCAACGCCCAGCCCCGCCACCAAAATCATTGCCAAAAAGGCAAGGTTTGTAAACATCAGCAAAGCTCCTTGCAATGCACCAAAGTCGGAGTTGCGGCGAAAGACAAAATTGCCGTAGAGCGTCAAGGCTACAAAGAGAGCAGTAGCGTAGACATAGACAAAAATCAAGCTGCCTTTGCCCTCGTCTTCGGGATCTCTGCTGCCTCCACCAAACCACCACCACGGAGTCTGATCATTGCTGCCTTGTTCACAGTTTCCATCTCCATCACAACGATTGCCCCAGCGCCACCAACTATTTCGATAGCCGTCGCCATTGCCGCCGTCATCGTTGTTGTTACCGTTGGCATTGTAATGCGTATGTCGCGAGATTGTGAGAATCAAAAGTGGCAGCAGAACGGTCGCCGCAGCACCGACATTCCATCCCAACAAGAAGGAATTGCCCTTTAGTTCAGAGAAGCTTGGTAGACCCAACATGGCGTACCTGGTACCAGTACTATAATAGTATTCTTCTTTGCTTCTTCCTTTGTTTTGTCACCAACCCTGTTGAATGTTGATCGCCACGAAACCGTTGGCGGTCCATCAGAAAATGTGACAGAAAAATCGAGCCGGGCGACTTATGCCCTGGCATGGCGTGGATAATTGTACTAGTACCATACACGCTTTCTTCGATCCCAAACGCGTGCTGCAATGCAAAACCAAAAAAATGTGGGTTCAAGCACCCTCCACCGTACAGTACCGTACGGTACGGTCCCAATACCTGCAAGGTCCCGAAACGGGACTTGATAGGTGTTAGTTTCACCTTTTTGGTTAGTTTCACCCTTTTGGTTAGTTTCACGCTTTGTTAGTTTCACCCTTTTTGAGTTAGTTTCACGCTTTTGAGTTAGTTTCACGCTTTTGAGTTAGTTTCACGCTTTTTGGTTAGTTTCACGCTTTTTGGTACGTTTCACGCTTTCAGTCGTGTTTACATTGATTTACTATGACATATACTGTACTTGTTTCACGCTTTTGGGTTAGTTTCACGCTTTTTGAGTTAGTTTCACGCTTTTTGGGTTAGTTTCACGTTGTTTTGTTACTTTCACCGTTTTCGAGATATTTTCACGGAAATCGAATTCCGTGAATCTAAGAAAACGGTGAAACTAAGAAAACGGTGAAACTAAGACTTTTAGTCACGTTTCGTGACCTTGCCGTAGATTTGCTGTCCTGATACCATACTAGTACTTGATCACGCAGAAGTGGTCGGATTACTCATAAACAACACGCTACCAAGCTACAGGGTTTGATTCATCCTCGTGTTGTATGACAGCCACAAGTAGAAATTTATGGAAACTACCTTAGCTCTCGAGGTTGAACTTAGAGCACAACTCGATTAGCGGAAAGATCCTGGACACTCCAGGGGCGCCAATTTCTCGAGTTTGTTGCTTGAGAAAGTGGCTCAGGCTAGATACCGGTACTAGTACCTGGTTACATGTACCAGTTGGGGTGACATTCCTTGTTTTAGTAATCAGGCTCTTCTTGTTAGGAATCTCACGGATGCGACTAGTCTACTGTCGTTCTCTGCTATGGCCGATTTTGGCCACCCATGGACGTTTGGCCGCCAACCGGTATTACGTACCACCGTGATTGCCTCTTGGGGGAAGATCTTTTCCTAATTCCGGCTCGAGCATATTTGAACCCACTTCGATCTTCCAGAAGTGTTCGCCCAAATCGTTCCTCTCACAACTCGTTGGTCAAGAAATGTAAAAGCAGCAGCAGTTTTGATCTTATTACCTTCCTCCCAAGCACCACCATGAAGCTCCTTCTCAACTTCATCGTCTTGTCCCTGTCGGCAGTGTCATTGGCTGCTGCTTCTGCCGCCGAGCCTGGCCTTCGTCGTCGCCGTCGTGACCAAATGACCACGGTGCTGACCGAGCCCGACAGTGCGGATGAAGGTCCTGTCTTTGGTGGCAAGGTCACGGTCAAGTTTACCAACGAGGCCTTTCAGCAACCTTTTGGTCCCTTCTTTGTCTTGACTCATAACACCGACGAGACGCCCTTATTCACGGTTGGAGACGAAGCCTCCGCCGGGTTGAAACATTTAGCAGAGAACGGTGACCCCAGCATGCTTATCGAGGCTTACAACAATTCCGCTCATGCTGGATACGTCGATGCTATCGTTGCTGGAGTCCCCTTTTTCGGTGGGGATTCTCTCGAACTCACGGTCCCCTACGATGAAGATTTTCCCTACATCAGCGTGGTCAGCATGGCCATCAACACCAATGATTGCTTTGTGGGATTGAGCGGTGTCCCGCTCGCGCCTGGATTGGTTGTGGAGGCTCCTGGATACGACAGTGGAACGGAAGAAAACAATGAACTATGCAGTAGCATTCCTGGACCCGCTTGTGCGGGCGTTTCGTCAGACAATGAAGCCAGTGGCAATGGGGAAGGGTTTGTTCATGTGCACCGAGGATTCTTCGGGGTTGGCGACCTTTCTCAGTCCGGGTACGACTGGCGGAATCCAATGATGAAGGTGGAGATGAGTTTGTAAGCATGCGCACGACATTGTTGGGAAGAAGATGGAGTCGAGTCCATCCATCAATTGAGAGATAGGCTGCTGGGGTCCGTATCCGCTCTCTAGACTACCTGTGAAACGAGTGACATGATATCCTGGCTGACGAGGGGCATGAGACTGTTTGCGTGAGTGTATCATTACATTGAATCAGTCAGTGAGTCCATGAATAGATAGCTTCCTAGAACTAACAAAAGTATAGGGTACAGCCATAAAGAAACCTTCTTCCCTACTACCGTTAGCTACATTAGTCCCTTGCGCATGCAAGAACACCGCAGGCACTGCATACTAAAGGTGAAGTCCATCCATCATCTGCCTGGGTGCCGAGCTTCTTCTGCATGTGAAACCGTGAATAAAAGATGGATCCAGCCGCACGAGGAGGAACCAGGGGAAGGACAGTCAAAACTACTGACGTTGAGTTTGGGGCTGAAGGTTTATAGACTAACTGCAAGGTGCCTTCTTACAATGTCCAAGATGGTTGCGTGGATCTCAACACTCTTCCTTGCATGCCAGCATTGCTATTCGCGCTGTTGGTGCCGTCACCGAACACGACATGGGCACTCTCAACAAGCCGAGCAACCCCGCCTGGCAATGCTCCAGAGCGTGGGTGGCTTCTGAAGCAGGGCAAGAGGTCACATCATCAATTTTGCCATCATCCACTTGACTGCGAGCCTTGTACCGTTTGATTACATGAAAGAACATGTTACTGGTTTCTGGAGTAGTGGTATGTATTAGAATGAAATTAGATTAGCTGCTACTAGTATATATATGTCTCTCGGGTTCGTGTAAAATTTGCTTGAAAATTGAAAAAACGAGCCGGTGATAAGACATCCTATGTTGTGCATGCAAGTACGTGATGTATGTATGTCTCAAAACTGCAAAATGCAAAGAAGAAAAGAGGTGGCTGTCTTGTACCTCGATGGTTGACAGAAGTGTGTTGTGGCGGTTGTGTGTTGTGGTGATTGTTTGTACCGATGCATGTTGCTTTACTGCTGCGCTCGATCCCACAAATCATTGATCCGCTGGGAATCCGTCTTGCGCAATCCCAAGGCTCGCTGGACGAATCGGCCCACATCGGCGCGTCGTTCCAACCGAGCCTCGTATTGCTTGCCATACGTCTTGGCGGCCTGCACGGTTTCGAGACGCTGCATTTTGGCCTTGTAAGCGCGTCTACCAAATTCTGCCATTTCCTTTTGTGACGCCCCGTGTTCCTGGAGTCGTTTGCGACGTTCCATCATGTCCAATTTCAAATCTTCCATGGTTTTACGAACATGACCACGGCTGGCTTCGTGCTCTTCGACCGTTTCATCGGGGATGGTCTTGAATTTCCATCCCGATAAGGCAATCGCCGGTCCCTTGCCCGAGGCGGACGGATTGTCGTCGGGAGCGACGGGATACAGTCGCGTTTGAATGTCGGCAAAGACCACCGACTTTTTATTGTTGTTGTTGTCCATCTCATCATCATACGAGTTGAACGAGTCGCGCGCCGTGCGTTCCGTGACATCCAACAACAAGGACTTGCCAGTAGTCATAGTGGGTGGTAGATTGAACGAAGAACTGGCGAGGTCCATGTCCATTCCAGAGGACAGCGAGATACAACCACGAGACGTATCCGCATATTTCTGGGTGTCCCTGGCAACTTGCACGGCATCGGCAAACACGTTGCGAGAACTGGACAGTTGGGATTCCAATAAATTGAAAGAGGCCCGACGAGGTTTGGCATCGATTTTGTCCTTGGCAAGACAGGATCGCAGAGAGTCTTCCAGGCTGGCCACCTTGAGAATTCCCTTTGTGGCTTGCGCAAACTTGACACGTTGCAGTTGGTACTGCGAGTTGTCCTTGAACAGGACTCCGCCACGGCGTGGAATGGGCGGTTCATCCTTATTAGTAGTAGTATTGTTGTTGCTCATGGAAGGCATGATGAATTCTTCCGGATACAGCAGTATACCATCCTCTGTGGTAGCAGTCGAACAAGTCGAGGAGGTCAGGGAATCCGATGGAGGATCCACCGTCTTGGTGCGACGAAGCGGATTGACAGCTGCTGACTTTTGCTTGTTGTGTGTGATGGTGTCGGTCCTCACACGGCGGAGAGGGTTCAGCTTGGAAATGGCGCTTGGCGTTTTACCCGTACTAGTGGCACTAGTCTCAGATTTCGAAAACACGTTGCGTCTCTTCATGGTAATAGATCAGATATGGTCGATTCGATGGTATAGAAAAGGATGATGATGATTGATGAGATCAGGGCTGTCAAGTCCTGGTCAGGAGAAATTGTGTGTGAAAGCAGAGATGGAGCCTCGGAATTTCGAAAACCCACTTTTTCTGTTGTGAAGTGGAACCGCACGCCGTACGGTAGTTGGCAGTGTACTGGTACCTCTACGCTTGTGTACTCAGGAACACAGTTTTATACGGGTAGGTGCGGTAAATATAGGGTTAAAGATATGCTTTACTCTGCAAATTTGAATCAAAAATATGTTTTACCGCAACTACCTGAATCCCAGAAGTGTCTTCCAGCTGTACGTACCAGGTACCGGTACCCCAACTACTATTGCTGCACTCAAGTAAAGATTGCTTGGAGGTCTTGTGGAGCTAATTGGTCGTGGAGCAACTGTGTCTGAAAAATTTGCCTTAATCCATAGAAGTTACCATCAAGACGAGGGGAACAGAGACTTCCAAATATTGTAGAATCATGGTTTAATAGCTGTTTAATACTATGATGACATCTTGTAAGACTAACTGAAACTCCATAACACGGAAACCTCCATTTAATTCACACCTGCAAGTTTTTACAAGGGTAATAAGTGCATTGGGAAGAAAGTCATGCGTCAAAAACTCTCGGGTAGATCTACAAAAGAAGTGCAAGATAAGTAGCAAGACTCTCCTTATGTCCTGATTGCCTCAGAATACACTGCGAGATTCAATTCGGGCAAAATAATACTCGAGTATAAATAATAAGAAATAAGAGTCACTCGGCTTGAGGTTTGCTCGGGCAGCAGCGCGAGAAGGGCTTGACTACGAGATTTAAATTTGTACATCGTACTCTCAGACTCAGCACATGCAGCGAGCTTAGGAAAGCTCTTTGGAACAATCTCCATTCCCCCATCATCCCTGAGCTGCCGTACCGTCCAGCCCGCGAGCTAGCTAGCAACGTCCAAGGGCTGCACTGCATGCATGCACATGTAGTCTCAAGGTGAGCAACATTTCCAAGTGATCCTGTGGAGTTGTTGGCAGTACTTGTTGCCTGTCTCTACCGGTACAGGTAGGTGCCCCCACCAAAGAACAAAAGGATCTTTGGCAGATGGGAAATGCATGCACATCAAGACACTTGTACTTGTGTGTAGCTTTGGCCCTCGCATTGGTCCCCAGCTTGTCCGCTGATCCAACCAAAAATATTTGCTTGTTTAGCTTGGCCCAATGCCAGCTTTCATACTAGCTGGTAGCTACTAGAGTGCCAAATAGTCCAAACTCTTGTTGGCCCCTCCTGCCTTTCACTTGGAAAGCATTTCTCGTCCAGCGTAGAAAGCCGTAGAGCTGTGCAAGACTGAAGACGGTCTTCTCCAAGCTTAGTGGGTTCCTCCCGCAATCTTGCTTTTCGAACTCCAGGAAGCAAGACAAGCCAAACGCATCTCACTGGATCGAGCATGAAGGAGGGAGGAAAGTACTCGAACCCCCAGGCTTCTCTTGGCGGCTAACAGGTAGAGAGTCCGCAGCTGTTGACATGACAGGGGACACCAAAAGGAGACCAATGAACGACTAGAATGGATCCATTTGAAGACATTCAAATCAACTGGGATTCGATGGACTACTAGCTGGCTAGAGCTGGGCAAAAAGCCTTGGCATGAACGAATCCCCCAGTTTGCTTGCTTCACAAGCAGACGAGACCAGACGAGACGAGACGAAGGTTGTGGTGTCGTACTACTACCGCAATACCGGTGCCCTCCCTCCATTGATAGCAATGAGCCGAGTGGACTAAAACCGGTACTAGTACCTGGTACAATGCCCGATTGAAGCATGCATAATCCAAGATTAACCAAAAGGATTTAACAAAAGATAACCTGCTTCAAGTCTTGGACTTATTGGAGCCTTCCTTTGTATTGCTTGGCATACGATGCACGTTGATTGATACATTGATACCAGTGTGCTATTTTAATACGGCAGTGGCTGTGCTAGCTAATAGTAGAGCTGCTGGTAGTACCAGTGTACTATTAATTAATAGCTGGCTAGCTAGCTAGAGTAGACTAGTCTACTGTCCTAAAATAGTACTAGTAATTGCACGAACACGAGTACCAGCAAAAACCCAGCGAAATAGCGGTTGTGCTAACCAGGCAAGATCACAACCGGTACATGTAGCCGGTACCGGTACGGTACACGTGTAGCTAGCTAGCGACTTGATGAGTTGATCTCAACAAAACTCACGCTCACAATCAGCAACAACACAAGAAGTAAACACTCCAGACAACAGCCAAACACAACATTCAATATGATCAGTGCTACAAAGAAAGATATGTATGCCTCTGAAGCTGCGGTCGAATGCAACTTTTGGAAGATCTGGGAACGAAGCCGCCAACACAGCTCAGGAAGCCTCTTTGAAGACGAAAAGTTGGACCTGACCACCCAAATGCACATGGAGATCCCGCTGGCTGGTCACTGAAGCGACATGAGTGCAAACAAACTCGCCCCTTCTTTTCCCTTCATCTGATCCTGCCTGATGCACATGTCAAATATACCCTTCATCTGATCCTGCCGCCTGATGAACATGTCAGATAGGTAGCCAAGTGCCTCAAGAGGTCAAAAGGCGGAAGCCAGAGCACGCCTACATGCAGTAAATATGGTTTGTGAGCAACTCTTGCTCGCATATTCGGAGGCAGCACCACCACATACATCTTCGATAGTCTACTTCACAAGCTACTTCACATAAAGCGATAGAATATACTCTACCAGCATAATTCAAAAGCCCGTTTCAAATTACATGGAACTAGCTAGCCACCATTACATAGCGCAAATAAATCTGCCTTTTGAGAAACTGGTTTCGGTCTCCCTGCTCTCCAAATTGCTGCCGTGGCTGCTGCATGCTGCATGCTCTACTAGTAAGTCAAAAGGAAATGGCTACGGATGGCCCAACAGGGAGAATTGGACTTACAGGGAGAATATCAGTAGAGCTCCAGTAGAAATGTACACAGAGCTGCATACAGTATGATTTGTGCAAATGGGTGGGCGCACAGACCAAAAAGGGTGTATACCACCCTGTGTAGAGAATGTACTGGAATCTACTGCATATTCTCCCTGTTGTTCCGTATTCTCTCTGTTGGGCCGTTTCTAGATGGAGGTATTGAAATAAAGGATGATCCAGTGGGTCAAAAGGAAATGGAGGAGATGGGTAAATTGCTTATTGAGACCCGTACGGTTCTATTGAAATAAAAGTAAGTGTTCATAATATCTTCCAATGCGGGATAGCATTGATGCCACGAGGAGCTTTGTCATTGGAGATTGAATTCAGATAATATACCGCACGGTAGGGTGGCTGGTTAGATATCGTTTAACCCAACCATGGACGACCAATAGCCTACATACAATAAGGCATCGTCTTGTCCAGCCAAGAGCAATAGTCTACATGTAATAAGTGTTGTCGTTGTCATTGTCCGGTTTGGTTTGGTTTGGTTTGGTTTGGTTTGGTTTGACCGTTTGACCTGGATACCGCACGGTAGTTCGCATATCAGAACCTCAAACGATTGGTACAGAAAGTACAGCCGGACCGCTGTACCGACATGTACACCACCGCTGTAGAGATCCCTACACTACCGCTGTAGAGCCATTAGCCAATCAGAATCGTTGGATCTTTGATTTCGATGACGTCAGTCGGCTGACGTCAGTCGTGCATGTCAGTCGTGCATGTCAGTCGTGCACACGATTCGCATCTCTGTGTCAGCTCGATCAGTCTCTCGTCGTGTTGTTTTCGTGTTGTTTTCGAAAGACCGACCGAGCATGCATCCAGAGGATTTCATGCATCCAGAGGACGGTCCAGAGGATTTCGAATTTGAGCGAGATAGTGAAGCAAGACCATACAAACGAGGTCATCCCGTCCGTATTCAGTAGCCGCAGAGGTACTTCGCAGAGGTGTACTTACCACATTCAGTAGCCGCAGAGGTACTTCGCAGAGGTACTCACCGCAGCCGAGGATATAGCCGCTTTCATTCCTCCGAAGACGATGAGTGCGAGTATGAAAGAGGCGCTGGCTGGTATCGACCACTACATCCGGAACCTGTACTCCAGTGGACGGTTCCCCAAGGTGGACGACAACGGCATGGTGTTCTTGGCGGCTGTTGGCAAGATAGGACGTGCCTCTGTGAAAGCTAGGACTCCTCTAGTGGTGGGGAAATTGGATCAATATCTGCAGCGCCATTTCCCACAGGGAGCAGTCCACGGAGTCACATCCCCTGTTATGAGAGCCCTTGCAAGGAACGACGAAGCTGCAGGCCAGTCCCAAATTACAAGTTTCTTCAAACCCGGGAAGGTCATCGACAAGCCATGGAAGGCAAAGGAACAGTCTCTAGCAGCCATAGAATTCGAGATCTAATCTTTCACTCGAATTTGCTTCTTCATGCCTGAGATATTTGACCGCAGCATCCTGGAAAAGCATTCGAGGTACAAGTTCATGGACCCAGCAACAGCCAAAGAAGGACTCTTGCCCCCATTGTGGCACCAACAAGCATGTGTCTTTGGTTATCAGAAGTGGCCTCAAGCTAGGCCAACACAGAGCAATGCACTACGCTAAAAGCTAGTGTAAAGATCTTTCGAGTGTTTTGAGTTTGAGAGAATGAAAGTTATGAGAGGATTAGAAAGCTATGAAAACTAATCAACGAGAGAGATCCACAACCAAAGGATCGTAGATCTGAACTCCCACGGGAGACTGTAGAGTGTGATAGAGTACTAGTTTTAGGTGAGTTATGAGTTTTACAGGTAGGTCCTGGTAGGAATCCTACGGAGTGGTGGCGGCTCATTAATCACTTTCCACAAACTGGTGTAAATCCTTAATGTTGACACCTCGTTTCGATCTTACTGGGTTAACGGAATGTAAATTATTAGAGTTAAGGGACGGCTCAAAACTGGCCTACTTCGATCCCATTTTCTAGTGACTGACCACACAAATCGAAAGAACAGAATAAGAAAGAAGAAAAACACGCTCCACGATGGCGAAATGCCGCTGTTTCGAAGCCCTTAGGACCCATCTACCGCCGCCGCAACCTCAGGAGTAGTGGTAGGCTCCCCATACTCAGAGGCTTGAATGGCCGCTTTGAGCAAAGCTCTTGTTTGTGGGTC